CCAGTGGGCACCCTGGGAGTGGGGTGTCCCCGAGTTCCCCAGCCGGCTCCGCTGTCGCCATTCTCCGTGGGCAGCGCCGGCCCGACGCAGGCAGCCGGCCGGCCCGGGGGCGCAGTGCCCTCCTCCCTTCTCTGCTCGATCCTGGGCAAAGCACCTTTTCCGGTTCCTTTGTCCTGACTTAAATAGGGCAATTCGCAGAGGCGTCCTATTGGCTCAACCCCGAGGGGGATGGCAGTCTGATCTGGTGGCCAGAACTAAGCCTAACCCAGTTCCAAAACCGGGGAGGTCGCAGGGAGCAAAATCCCTCTCCTGCCACCAGAACCAGCCCCCCCCTCCACATCAAACCATGACAATGATATACAAAAATCTATGTTCACATAGATGTATGCAAATTTATCTGAAACTGAGTCTCTGAATGTAGGAAAACCACATAAGTTAAATTAGATCAACCTCCCTAGTTTGAAATGATACTTTACTTCTAAATTGCAACAATTCTTAATCTTAATTTTCTCATTTATTATCCACATCACCATAAATTTTGTATGTTTTGTATTATTGTAACTAACTTCTCATATCTTACCTGCACGGCACATTCTTCGTTTCCTCATGTTTAAAATTTAAATTTTACGTTTATAATTCTTTTAAATGAGAACATAGGTTTTGGGAAGAGGATTCCTTAAGTACTTTTGGTTCCCAGCTGCTTTTTAGAGGTGACTGCTTCACAACAATCACAAATAATACCCAATCATCATGCAGCTATTGTAACAGAATACAAAGATTAAACCAACACAAAAACATGACTGAAAAACCTAAAGGCAACCTTTTGTGTCCCAACTGGATACCAAGAGCAACACACATCTGAAATGCCAGCCTCTTACCAAGAACTTTGCTAGGGTTGGTATCCAGGCGCAGAATAGCCATGGCTAGAGGAAGCGTTAACGTGATATAATACTTGGAGTCTTGGAAGGGTGGGAATTCAGGGAGAATCAGATAGATCCTCATTGCTTCAACATCTGGTGGTGAGCTGGACAGCTGAGGAATCAAAAAACTTTCAAAGCTCTTCAGTATCTAGAGGAAAGCAACAGAAAAGAAGACAACTCATTCTGGGTGACAGAATACCTACAATGTAGATAATGTGTAAGAATTGATGAAATGGGGCACACTCAGAAGGGGTGGACTTCACAGCTTTTGTTGATGTTCTCTTATAAAAACACTCCATAGGACCGGACTAAACTTTGATTTTTCCAGAATGCATAAACGTTTGGATAGGTTTTTCCAGGGCTGGCTGAAGGTTAGTTAACTCCTCTCATTAAGGTCACACTCCTGTTCTAAAAGTCAATCCTACAGTTAAAAAAAGCTACAAAAATTATAGCTAAAAAGGGGAACATACATGATTTTGGCCCACAGCTCTGCACTCAACGAAATAAATCCTCCGAGTTAGAATAAATTACATAATCATAAAGCACTCAATTCCTGACAGACAATAAATGAGCACATAGTCATCATTTACAAATAGAACATACACAGAATTCATTTCAACAGTCAATTTAAGTATTTCATGTCATGACACTAAACTTTTTTAAAAACAAGTCCTAGACACATTCTGAGAAGGTGGAAACCAGCCCAGGTCAATGGAGAAGTATCCATTGATATCATGAAGGATCTGGCCTGCAGACTCGCGATAAAACCCTTCCCCAAAAAAGCTGCTGTTATTTGCGTGTTACAGAGAGACAAAGCCTTTATTTCCCTCCTGAATAGCCAAAACTCCAGAACTGCAATACCTGGTCTAGGAGAATGGAGTGCTGAGAGTTCATCAGCTTCTCAAACAGCACTCTGGTGGAGTTTAGATCAATCCCTGGGATCTTCGGACTGGTTTTAAAATGTTCATCGATTCTTAAAAAAAAAAAACAGAGAGGCATAAGTTTAAGGATAGAGACACCATTACCTGTGTATTGGCATGGCCTGGGAGTAAGCAATGGAGAAACAATCTCTAGGGAACTAATCAGACGAGAAACAAAACAGAAGTTGGAATCTTCTTACTAAAGACAAGATGGACAACTCTCGCTTCTGAACTTCTTTGGGCCTTGGTCAGGGTTAAGATTCTTGCAGAGAATCATTTTAACAAAGTCTTTGATTTCCCCAGGATTCCTACACTGACGTAAGAACCTACCTAGACAGGCCAGACTGCGTAAAAACCTGTAAAATATGTATCAGGATCCTTTATGTTGTCTTCATATACACTACTTTTGTAGCAAAATCTGTTTAATCACATCCAGTAAGAAAGGGAAGGGTGATGCGTAAGACAACACTGACTGTTATACAAGAGGACATCAGATGAGGGTTTCAAAAGAAAATAGGGAAAACATTCAGAGTAGCTTTTTGGCAATTCCACTCAAATGTTCTAACACTAAACAACTACCACAATCAAAATACGGCACAGCTGAGAACAGTCTTCACATAGTCTTCAGTAGTAACAAATATGTGCTGTCCTTTCTGCTGTGCTTGAAAGGTCGCAATTTGAGTACTCAGACTACCTGTCCAAGAGGAAAAAGGAAGGCAACCTGCAGAGGACAATAGCCAAACAGCCAGATCTAGCAACACTGAATGTCCAGTCCGGCAGGTAAGTCACCTTGCTCGGCGTCTAGAGCGTGATTAGCATCTGTAGCAGAGGCTCCCGGCACCATCCTCTGCAGTAAAGCTGCACATAAAACCTTGCAGATGCTAGTAAAAAAAGGTCATTGCTGTGATTCCATTGACCTCTATGATTTCTCAAGTCTGTCACTGCTCATCTGAGACTACGTCGTATCACGCACTCTGACGGAAAAGGTAGCTATTAAAGATGGGATGCATTTGTCAGTTTTCTGGTATGACTATAACAACATGAGAAGCTAAACATAGCCTGCTGTAGTAGAATGGCTATTTCCATAACAACACAGGCACCAGGCTGGAAATAGCTCCTCAGAGTCACACTGTGGTACAGAGCGCTTCAGGCTGCGATATGCAGAAGTAGTATTGGCACACGCTCAGTCACACAGTCATGGAAAATCTGCTTTTCCACCTAATCCCATGCATCACAGTGCTGTATTGCAAACAGGCCCATACAGTGTTAGGATACTGGAGGGATATATTAGGGTATTCCTATTAAGTGCACCATGACATAAGGCTTCACATATAAAGGTGCATGGTTAAATACAGCCTTACTTCAGTGTATGGCGGCTTCGAAATTTATTATACCTTTGGTCAGAGATTTTTGGTAGAAGTTAAGTCTTGCACTAACCAGGACATTGCTAAAGCGGAAGGAGAACTGCACTGGGGTGATGAAGTCCTAAACTCCACTCATTTCCACATTCAAAGGAGATGTGGGACTATTTGCAATGACTCGACAACTTGCATGCCTCAACAAGTGTTTTAAACCAACAGGACACAACTCTCCTGATGCAGTAACACACTGCCTCCTCACAATACTAGAGAAGAAACCACTGGACAAGTGGAAAAACACAAGAATAATGAGTACATTGTTTTCTTTTACAAGTTGCTCTTGGAAAATATTACTCAAAGATTACTCATAGTAACTAAGCTTTTTTCACCTAGTTACAGGTCATTTACTCATCACATCACCATCAAAAATTTCTCCTCCTCCTCATCTTATGCTGTTACCTTCCCACCATTCACAGACACAGCCAACACAATCCTTCCCAACCCATAGCCTTTGACTCAGCTCATCCTTGTCACCACCTATTGTTGGTTACATCCATTTGAAATTCCTGCTCTCATAAGCAGGAGCACAAAACTTTCCACAACTGATGTCACCTAAAAGGAAAGTGCTTCCATGCTGCCTCCGATGTATTTTTCAGGAGCAGCCTGTGCTGCAGTACACCTCCACCAGCTAGCTCAGCTTGGTAAGAGACTATTCAGATACCTGGCATCACTCATTTCCCTTAACGTCTTATTCCCAGCCCTCTTTTTGAAAGATGCCGATATTCATTTCATAAGGAAAAATAACAGTTGTGGCAACTCCAAGGAATCTGTGTCACTTACAGTATGCTCACTCTGCACTTTCTTAGACCATCTGCCTTCCTTACCCAGCTCTGCCCCAGCACCTCTTTAGTGGACATTCTGTCCCCGTCTCCTGCCTGATCAGAAAAATCAAATCCCACTGCAGCAGTGGCTGAAGTAAAGGGATTCTGGTCTGCCTCAAGGGAAAGCCACACTTCTGTAAGTTTGCCACTTACTTTTTCTCCAAGAAGCTTCCATTCCAGCAGGCAGCTGAGGACAGTATCTGAACAACATTACTGTTTGCAGCAGGAAGACAAAAGAAAACAGAGATAGAGGTTATCAACAGATTTCCCAGCAAATCTTTTCAGCTCTCTTCCCTTCCTTCTATGGGAAACAATGTCAGGATCACCCCTTCAGAGGCATAGAGGGTAAGCGGTTCATTCAGGATCGTTTTAATGTCCCCCTTTGAAAGGAGGGATGTTAACAGAGCCTCCTTTCCACCTATTCTGCCCTTCTTATGGCAGGCACACAGGGGAAGGAATTTAATCAGTCTGTTCACAAGTTCTTGCTGCTTTTCATGTACTCTTAAACACACAATGAAGGACCAATTTAAAATCCATTTTCCACCCACCATTTGCAATGTTCTGAGGCAGCCTCAAATTCCTCTGGTTTTGCTCAGAAGCTCTAACCTGGCAGCCTTGTGACTGGCAACTGTCCTCCCCTTGCAGACAACCAAGAACCACACTTGAAAAGGCTGCTAAATTTCAAGTGAAAGCATGGCACGGAAGCCAACAAAATTATTTAAATAAAACTTTCAACAAAAGGCTTGTCCAGTGCCACAATACCTACTTGACAGAATTAGAACTGTTCTTTTCTAAAAGCTTTTGCCTCCAGACATCTATAGTTTCATCATTTATTAAACAGGTGTAACGTGTTTCATTTATGGTCCGGAAATCATCAGCAGGCAAGGAATTCTGTGAGAAGATACAGATTTCAGCAAAGACAAGGCTTGTATAACAATTCCTTCTTATCTATAATCTCTGTTTTCTATATCTAACTGATAGCTTCCTTAGTGTGGTCTCTGAACAGGTTTGCTTAGGGAGCTGTGGCATTACTAAGTCCAAAAGGAAAAGCAGGGAAAAAAAAACAAGAGGAGGAAGAACAGGAAGACTGGGAGAAGCGGTTGGACTCGATCTTAAGGGTATTTTCCAACCTAAACGATTCTACGATCATCAAATACCTTTTAAAAAGTCAAAAAGAAAAAAAAAAACAAACAAAATATAATTTCCTTAAATGTACCAGAGGTCTCTTTAATACCGTCATACATAACTACAGGCTTAGTACATTTATTCTAGACCTATTTCCATGCCTCAAAAGTGTATGTCGAACACTTCTTGAAAGAAATAAGAAGACAGAAGCAGAAGAACCAATCCAGCATTCAGTCCTCCATCCAGCATATCTTGACAAAACCCCAGTGTCTGTGGTCCACAGCCCTAAACTCTGATCACATGGTCCCCAGTGTCTCAGGAGGAAAGCAGCCCCATGCTGTCAATCTGCAAAGGTGACTGGACTCCCAGCTGATCAAACTGAAATCAATGTCTTCCCAATGACTCTTTGACACAGCCCTAAAGGCAGGCAACTTTCAGCCGTTCCTAAAAAGTTGCAAAACCCTGTAACAACTGTCATCATTGGTAAGGTTTGTAAGGCAAAATGGACTCCAAAGCAACACTTCATTTTCAGGAGATATTACCAAAAAGAAAAAAAAAAAAAAAAAGATGCATTGTGAAGGCTGGGACAGGGGAGCAGACTTGAGAAGACACTTCATGTGTTTTACCTCATATTTGGAGCAAAGTACAAATGTTTGGTCTCCTCCAGAGAAGATATGTTTAACAATGTGATATTTACAGGCATCTGTCAAAGAAAGAGACACAGTTCAGTTGTGTTAGAGATCGATGAATACAAGTTCCTACTGTGCCTTTGCCCCGACACTTGCACTGCCAGCGTCTCAGGCTTTACTCTGCAAGGAGCACCTGGGTGCCTTGAAGGCCAGGCTGACATCAGTTGGAACTCAAGCACTGCAGCACTTTCTTGAGAGATACATGAGGCCTGGCAGGAGAGAAAGTTGTAATTTTTAGACTGCAACAGGGCTTTTAAAGAGAAACCAAAGCCCTCGGAAATCAGTATTAGTACAATTTCATGAAGGCTCAAGATTGCCAAACATTGAGCTCTGCCATGAAAAGAGAAAGAGAGAGGGCGCACATTAACACAGAGAGCAAGAGGTCACTCAGTAATTTCCATAGTGCATTTGGCAAAGGAGGATGGGTTTCTTTTGCTGTTTCAAGAATTTTCGCAGAACAATGTCAAGATGTCTTTAGACAGCCATGGGTGAAATGAAGTTATTTATGTCCATTTGTGACTCCAAATCACACGTAGTACGTACCAGGTTTCCCTGAGAGTTGCCCGTTGTGAGCTGCCCAATGACCCTTTACAGGAGAGGGACACTTAACATTGCAAGTGTGCCCTGTTCCCAGCTGGCCTCTTGTTCCACAGCCAAATGCATAGATCATTCCTGAAGAAGGCACAAAGGCTAAAGTGTGGTGTCTGTAACAGAGATGGGTACAAAGTTTGGGCCTTGTTTAACAATTAAAAGAAAAAAAAAAAAAAATATAGCCTAAAACCTATTCCCAGTTCCCCTAGGCCAAAAGCTGGTGCAAAGCAGCATGCTTACGCTAGCATCAATGCACAGTTTTTGCCACCTGATGGCACCAGTTTATGAGATGGAGCTCTTTAGGTGGAAGTGACAAAGAGCAGCTTGCGCCAGCATATGGCTGGTATCAGGCACACAGTCAGAATTAGCTTAGTCATTTGCTGAGCCTGTACATATCAAAAGACAACAACACAGCACCAGTGCTACTAACCCTCTTTCATGAAAAGACACTGGCAACTTGTGGCCCAAGGGGCTGCCGCTCTAAAATCTTGCTGAATTATTAAGTTGGAAAGGTACCTTTTACCAGGTTACAGCACAGGGAACAACTCCAATTAAAAAGCAACCTCCTTTAGAGGGAATTAAAATTCTCATTAGATTTAAATTAACTTAGTTTTGATACATAGGATGCAGAAGCAAGACTATTCCCCTTATTTACAAGGCTCAGTGACAGCAGTAACCTCTACCAAAGAAAATTTGTGGCTCCACACAGGACTCACCTGCCACAAGCAATCTGGGATACTTCACTGCCCATTAGCTCAAGAACTCTTCGGGGGTTCACTTCATCGTTCATGGAGTCATGTCCCAGTTGCCCACAGGAACCTGCACCGAACGTGAACACCCCTCCACTCTGTTAGCAAATCAAACAGCACATTCTCCATTTAGGGACCTATAACCCAGCAGAATCTCTCCAACTCCAGTTTCAGTACGAGTCTAAGCTTAGGCAGGGATTGCTGGGAATTTCCAAAAGATTCAGAAAAGAAACTCGGATTCTGATAATGCAGCTTCCAAATAGCTACCTTGCCACCCTTCAAAGGCTAACAAAATTATCTTTAGGTATGACTACATTAGACAAGCTTCCCCTCACCATCACCAGGTGTGTCTGAAATCCCAGCAGGTTTAAACACGGCTGAGTAGCACCCATTTCCACAGTACTTTACACCCATCTCTGTCAGCTGCTGATCAAAAAGACTGTGACGTTTTACTTTGAACAACGGCTTCTACAACAGTGTTTTTCCCACAGGAATCCCAAGGGCAGCTGTTGAATTCATTTTACAGTGGAAAACTGAGGCACCGAAAAAGAAAGCAACACCTTGGAAGTGGCAGAGGTAAGGCAAGAACCGAGCAGTGATTTTCCAAATCCTAGCCCTGTCCTCTGTCCACTAAACTATACATCACTTGGAAACAGTAGGTTTGGAACTGAAAACCTCTTGAAAATGCTGTGAGTGACTCCTAATGTTTCATTTAAACATCCATTTATTTTGACTTGCATTTTATTCTGATGCACAATATCAGTCTTTCTATCTTCCAACACCCTTTTGGATGTATGTTTGTTAGTTTCTTTGCTCAAAGCTAATTTCTTTGAACGATTCACCTGACTTTTACTATTCATTGTCACGGATTACTAACATCTTCATTTTCAAAAACAGCAATGGATCATGTTGGTAATGAATCTCAGAATAAATCACAGTACAACTGTACTCTCCATTTGGTTTCTTTTACTACAGTCAGATGGAATACAGTAAGTCAATCTGTTCTTTTCTGCCATTACCCAGGAAACTGATGTGAAACCATCAGGCAGGCAAGCCAGCAGGCAGAGTTCCCAGGTTAGCATCTTTACCTTTGTCAGAACTGCTGTGTGTTCCTCCCCACAGCTGATGTAAACAACCTTCTGAGACCGCAACAGCTTCACATGACAAGGGGATTCTCGGTCTGCATTGAAGACAAAGAAAATAAAGGAGCTGTTTCATAAACACAAACCTAAATGTCAGAGAAAACCACTGGCAGTCTGATTTTCAGATGTGGTCTATGTGTGCAGTGGAAGCTTTAACAACTAGGGGAAAAACACTCACATCCTTCAGTTCTTCACTGCTGTTTTCTCCCTCCAATTCCTAAAAGATCTGTCCTGACTCAAAGAAAATTGCCCAGAGCAAGAATGTAAATATTGAGAATCTTGTATAAACTCAACATGCACTTGCAGTTTGGGAGGTACGATGACTGCAGCCTAGCTACACCCACCTTCAACCTCATGCTCCATTCCAGATTCCTCACTGATGACTGCAAACATTTATTTCCAAAACCTTGCTTTGACCTTTTCCATACAACAGAACAACCCCAACACGTGGGAGATACTAGTGCAACACGCATGACAAGCTGAATGTCAAGGTGTATTTAAATGCCTAGCCTTACTTCTGTTGTCATCCTTTAAGAAGATTCTCCTACTTGGAAAGGCTAATCACTGCCAACCTTTGAATGATGCTTTTCTCCTTCACTCTGACATTCTAATCATTAAAAGTGGGTCTCCCAAAGATGAATACACTAAGCAAGGTTACATGTTTTACTGATGTAAAAATAAAACAAAAGCTAAGCATTTCAAGGAGCAGTAGGCACATCAAAACAGTTAGATACTAAGGAGTGCAGCTGCTTACTTCATACCAACAAAAAATCAGGTTCCTACCTATAGAAGCTGTCCATTTTTTAAGACTCTCACCCAAGGATTTGACAGGTGCTTTTTTTCTGGGTAGTGAAAGGAAAATGGTCACGTTTTCAAGGATTTAGAAATGAGATGAGATTTTTAATTTACTTTGTTCTGTATTTCGGCACTCTGATCTTTTATTTTGATAGGAATGACACTTCTTATCTCTACAGCGTAATTTTTTAAATGACAGTGCTGCAGAATACGCATGCTTGTAGATTTTCCTGTTCATGTTCACTAAGCATAATTCACACTGTCTTACCATGATTCACTTACCATAAATACAACGTAATTCCTACAGTGCCATGTATTGAGGGGTAAGCAGAGCATGATCCTTAGCCAACACAGCCCCACAAGCAGATGCCCCTTATATGTTCATTCAAGATTAGCCTCATGTTAAAGCAAGCCTCTTGTGTAAACCGCAGCTTTGTTGAAATTAGAAGCATTTATCTGCCAGTCTACACGGAAAGAACGTGGCTGCTCTTGCTCTAGATTAGCTCTAGCTTACATACAGTACAAGAGAATAGACCTGGAGCATTTTTGAGAGAACACAAGACACGTGACAAGTCTTACAATTGTCTTTCATATTTCTAAAAGTGTAAAGCAAGATGAAATGATGCATACAACATATGAGCCTCCTTTGCTTAACTACAGGCTGGTTTTGAGTAATTACTTCAAATACATTTCAGTTTGTACAGTGGGGTTGTCAAAATGCATCATTCCATTACAGGTACACAAAACATGAGAAAACACTCTTCTCTTGAAACATACAGTGTTTATATGCTACTACATTACACAACATAGAATTTACAACCTTGTGTGTGTGTATATATATAACCTCATGTACTCATCCATGCAAAATAAATTATCCACACATGCTAGATGTCACATCCACACTCAGTAATTTACCTAGATATTTAACGCTACTCAGCATCTATGCAGAAAACAATCAGAGGTTGAATTGAAGCTTCAGAGAAAATATATTTCACTCACTTGCTTTTGCAACAAGTTAAGAATGTGTTAACAACAAGCAGAGGAGATCAGGGCTTTTCAGACTAGTGGTAATGTCATATCCCCTCTTCTGCTTAATTTATAAACCTATCTTAAAGTCTGTTGATGGCTAGGCTTCCCTGAATATGGCCACCTGAAAAAACTACCATTGGCCCAGCATGTCTGGGAAATTGCGCAACAAATAAACTAGACAACATTTTACAATACTGAGATCCTCTGTGTTGCCTGAGATACTTTGTGTTGCCATCATTTTATAGCATACAGATGTGCTCACCAGCCAAAAACATGTGGCAAACAAGGGGATGGGTTCAGCCTGCTGTTCTACAGGGAGAGTCTTTGCTCCACACTACTTCAAAAAAAAATACGGACAAAGTATTTTTGAGAAGAGGAATAAAGAATATGAGCACTTCCTTCGATGCCTGCATGCTAACACTCATGTTTGAAAGGTCTTTCTGAAAGATGTTTCGTTTTGACCTTCCTCATTTCTGCTAACATCCACAAGGAGAAAAAAGTGTTTCTCTTCCTGCTAAGTATGAAAAGCCTGTAGAGTCCATCAAAGACTGTTCCTCTGCCCTCTCCTCCTAAGAGAAGTCACTGAAGGTTACAAATCCGCTCAGTAAAAATATACTGTCAATGCGAAAAGAGACACTAGGTCAAAAAAGTCCATCCTTCTTTCACCCAGGAGCATAATTTTAATACCTCGTTCATCACTTAGTCCCAGCTGTCCTGAGCTGTTCCTCCCCCAGCCAAATACAGCTCCTGAGAGAGAAAGGGCAAAACTGTGGGCTCCGCCTGCAGCAACCTGAGCCAAAGGGATCCCATCAAGAGACTTGACACGTTGTGGACTGGCTTGAGAGGGACATTCTTTGCCCAAGCCCAGCTGACCATAGCTGTTCTGACCCCATGTGAAGAACTGGCCATCTGAAACAAGGAAAGAAAGAGAACAGCGAGTAAAAGCTGGTCAACAGAAAAGCAAGTTTGTCAGAATGAACAAGAACTGGGGCTGGAGTCTTTGCTCCCACTCAAGCCTCACGATGGAAAAAATCAAGCAAGACATTCTTTGCCAACATAAAAGGACAGTCTGAAGCCACCAGGAAAATAAACAGACATGTAACTAAGTACAAAATACACCATCAGACTGCTGTAACTTAAATAGTGTAATGAAGAACAGTCCACATGTTGCATACAGAAGAGTAATAGCCAAGGATAATTTTAACACAAAGAAATTAATTACACACATTTTTCTACATCAAGATGGAAAGCTTTCAAATGTTCCTGCCATCATTCACCAGTGAGACAGTGGGTGGCCTGTGAGTAACGTTTTCTCTCTTGACAGTATTGGCAAAGCTCTTCTTCAATATTCATGGTACCTGATCCATATTATAGCTTCCCTTTTGGCCTGAAAGCAGTTGGGACAGGGATGTCCTTGGTTTATTATGCAGAAATATGCAATCTTGGACACTGTGCAAATAACAGCACAAATCTTGGCAATAAAAAAAGAACGTTACGATACCTGCTGCCAATGCCAAGCAATGCCAATTTCCACAGGAAACCTGCAGTATCGTCTGTTGGTTCAATTTCTTTATCAACCTAAAGACAACAACACTATTTTAGAATGAATGTCTACAAATACAGTATCACCTTAGGTTGAAATTATGATTTCCATTCAGATATTTGTTCTACACATACACATAAACTATGGTTTTGAGACTGAGGAACAGAGTCTTGAAGGTGATACAGCTCCACACATAATAGATGCAAATCTGTGGAGACCTTTAGACACTTGACTACTAACTCAAACTATGTTTCCTTCTACAACACTGAATCCAGCCATCTGGAAAGGGTGAAAATAGTTGGTTCTTGGTGTCTCTATTCTTTTTCAGGCATCGACATTTTTCATGCTGTCAGGGGCCTAGCATTTCCTATGAGTTACAGCACAAAACCACTTCAGTGCTTTGTACAGAGAACAGCATGTCAAAGGTTCAAGCTACTTCACACAAATGTTATTTTTAAAATGGCACTATCCCACTGACATGTGAGCCTGTCTCTCTCTGTTATATTGGAGCCACCTGCAAGTTAAGGACTGTCTTCCTACGGAGCCCTTCAGCTCAAACATTAAATGTTTTGTGACTGAAACTCTTCCTGAGTTTCAACAAATGAATGACAGCCACGCTAGACAAGATGTCCCAAACGTCTGCTCTGCACTGCATCTGCAGCAGTAGACCAAATGAGACAGACTACATCTGTTACTAATGTAGCATGATGCAACACCATGAAGTACAAAGGAACCAGTTATATTTATTATGGTGATAAGCTGAGACCGATCATCTGTGAACTGCTTTGGATGGAGGAGTCCTGGTGTCTGCCACTGGCCTCTGCGACTGCCACCATCTACGTGTCCTTGCACTTCACCCTATTAGAGCTCTGACACAGGTAAGATACGTTAAGTAAGTAAAGGAAGAAAATTGAGCACTACCCTAAAGTTTCTGAGCAACATTCACTATTCAGAATTGCAGTAGGCTGGTTTTGTAGCTTTGCTGCTAATGTGCAGCACTGCAAAAGGACCAGTTCACCCAGGCATATATTTTTCCAATTCTTGAAATGTACCTCCTATCTCAGAGGACTTCCTAGGGACTGGAATAGAGACAGGTATTACACACAGCATTTCTATTTTTGGGTCCTCCCTCATGTACCTCCTTGCTCTGTATAAAACACAGTGGCATTTTTCATTGAGGAAGCCAAGCATGCTCCGATTTTCTTTTCCACGCCTCAAGCACCCACGGGCAGAAGGTCTGTCCTGCCCAAACCTCCTGAGGACTCATCTAAGTCCCAGAGGGGCTCAGGGAGCACCAGTACAGTACAGAAAAGGAGGAGACATCACCCTCGCATACCTACAGGATAAGTGCCTGATTACTGCCCCTCAGAGAAAGCAATGCTCCCACCGACTCCAGGCTGGAAGGCAAGCAACCCTTGATGAACCTCCAAGAAGCTGCCTTAAGGAAACCTGAACCCGTTAAAAATTTACCTCGGTACCGTCACTGCATCTTCTATAGTGGTGAGGCCCAACTGACCATCGCTGCCGGCACCCCAGGAGAAGAGCTGGCCTTGGTCACTGAGCGCCACGCTGTGAGACTCTCCGCAGGCCACGTGCACGATGTGCTGCCCAGCCAGGGCTCCAATTTGCTCTGAGGGAAACAGAAAATCTCTCTGGTCACAGCATTCAGCTCCCAGTGACGTGCAGACATCAGGTCTAGGCGAATCTGTAGGCAAAGCCATTCAGACGGTGCACTGTTCCCCAACTTAGTTTTAAAATACTTCCCACAAGAGGAAAGCACCAGGTTTTACTGAAAACACGTGGTTGAGCTCTTCTGAAAGCCTGGTCTGTAAGGCATAGAAAAAAGGCAGGTACATACCCCCAGGTAAAATGATGGTCTACACATAGCCTCTCAGATACAGGGGAACTTATCAGGTTCTTTAGGAACAACCAGGCTTCCCAGATTTGATGTTTTCTCAGTTTTAAGGTGGGGATCAGCCAGGACCCAGTTGACAGACCCCTGTAAAGCATGTTTGACTTTTCACTGCTCTCATGTCCAATGAAGACGAATCATCCACAACGCTAATCAACCCATCCACCCCTTGCGTTATTGTTCGATGAGTGAAAGCATACACTTTACAACCCCTCTGCTAAGCCTGAAACAGGTTTGAACCTATCAACCTATTACTACCACTGTCAGACACTCATAAAGTCTCACGAAAAGGAAGCAAAGCAAGAAGGCCTTACAGAGGAATAAAAGAGAAAAAAGATCACTCAGTCCTCTGGAAGATCAACCAGAATTGACTCTTCATCATTACATCACGTTAGGCAACTGAAATAGGTTGGACAACTACTCTTACAACATCAACCACCAGATCTTATTCATTACACAGTTTTTACAAGTGGACATGAAAACGTCTTGTTTTGCAATAAAACGTTGGAAATGCCATACATCCAATAGAAAAATCTCCCCAAGGCTAACAAGTAAAGTTAGTTTTCTTTTTTTTTTCCCTGAATAAATAGAACTGTTTCAGGTGGATGAAGGAAGATTTCACACTGTAAGCTACAAGGCAGGGATTAGTTCTATTGCAAGTCCCACTTGCCTGCAACATAAGAGGGAAGGGTAGTTATGTGTCATTCTATGAAAATGATACCCCGCATCAATGGCATCCAGAAATCATTAATGTACTTAGCACCAAAAACTGCATACCGATCCATCTCAACGTCTTAAATGAATTTAAAAGGAAGGCACCCCTTGGAGGGCTTGTCTTCTAAGTCTGGGATTCAGAAAATAAGGAGAAGAATCTCTAATGGATGTTATGGAAGAGAAAGGTGACAATTATTTAAATATGTATTCTACCAAAGGAAAATGCTACCTGAATGTGTGCTTCCTTTCACTCAAAATAATTAATGGCAATGGAGGAGCAGTTCACAAGTAATAAGCACACAAACATCTAGGAGGGCTTGAGGACAGGGCCTGCCTGCCATCTGGCCTTCCTTTAGCCCTGCCATCCAGTAACACCCCTTGCCCGGCAGCTCTTTCCAGTAGGACTAATTTCACCCAGTCCCACTGCCAACCCTATGCAAAGACACAGAGGGGTTTTGAGGGCAGCAGCCCGATTTACACATGCAGTTTCCATGCTTGGGTCCATGAGCATCCAAGTGTAGCACTGCTTGCCAGCCTGTTTTATTTTCATTTGCATATATAGTTGAGGAAGCCTGTTTTTATCTGTGAGCTCTAAACAACCAGCAGCTGTATGGGTGGGTCAAGGTCAATTACAAACAACAGACAAGGCATCTCAATAGCACATGTGGCTACATCTATTCCTCTCAGTCAGCCAGCACAACAAGAAAAATAATACCCACTGCAATGTGCCTAATAGACCACCTAAGTTCAGCCAAGTGTGTTTCTGTACTGGGACCTGAAAGTCCAAAACTAAAGCTTCTGCTAGAGAGGATCCCACCATCAAGAGAGGGATGAAGCCATCCTCATCTCCACAGGAAAGCTCTTTGATTCACGAACCCATCACTTCGCTATAAGCTTGCTGGCTGGGGTGTACTGAATCATCCAGAGCACCTGAGCTCTTAAAACTGGTCACAAACCTTCCAACCTGCCCTTCTTCCAAAGCTACTTCCCACACACTGCCAAACACTCCAGGGGACAACACAAGTCTGACAAAAAGATCAATGTGGGCAATATGGGAGGCTGGGGCATCCAAAAGAGACTGTGTTTTGTTACCTGCAGGCACGACTGAGCTAAAGTCTTCCCTGAGAAAGCAGTATTTGTCACAATAAGTATACATGTCTTGTTTGCTGTGGAAGGACTACTGTGAGCTGTCCCTGAGCCCTCAGAGCACCTTGAGGAGGTGACGGAAGACTCCAATGACCAAGGATCAGCATCAGGAGCTGAAGGAGGCAGGACTCTGACCACAGCAGTACTGCGACTGGAGAAAGAGTGCCCTGAGGTATGGGAAGGCTGTGGCAAGGACTACATAGCAAGGGCTTCGCACATTGGGACAGAGAGCACATCCAGCAGGTTTAGAAATCCAGAGTGGTTGCTTCAGTCCCCATAGACTCCATCTTAAATTTAATTTGGCAACCCAAACCTGACCTTGCTTTATGTGCCATCCCAGGGGACTAATAAATACTGACTTGTACTGAAATGCTGCCCTGCATCACTGAAAGTGTCTTCAGTGACTGTACTGTTCACCCAAGCAGCAGAGTATAGCCCCACCTGGATAACCACAGACAGAAAAAAGTAGCCTGTTTTGAAGACCTTTCCCTTTAGAAATGTATGTGTATGGCCCATCCCACCATAGCACACTCCTAAGACTGTCAATCTCATCTTGCCTGCAAAGTCATGAAGAAATGTAAACACCAAACAGTAAGTTCTACAAGCTCACACACATCTCTTTCCAGAGATGGAAAAAAGCCAGCATTCCCCTGGGGGCACAGACTGTCCAGGCAGTCCAACAAGGGTCCCAGTTCACTGTCAGGCTTGGTAAGCCACCGAATGTACCACGTCCCCACTAACATGGGTAGTACTATCAAAAACACCTGACAATTAGTTCTTTATTTATCTCCCACCCCTTCCTCACATCAAAATGAGGTGTGTTAATGGTTGGTATACATTTGTTTTAAGTTCCAGAGCATCACAACATCATTATTCATTCCTTAGAAGAGACGCATCACCACACTGAAAGGGGTGCAAAGGGTGAAGTTTATTCTTCGTTTTGAGTCTTCAGTAACTGACGAATAAAACCAGTCAAATGGAGCTTAATAGCCACAGTTATATACAAAGCTAAGCCGAACAAAACTCCGAAAACAACAAGGAAGGGCTGAAAGTTATGCAATACAGCATTTCAACATGCCATAAAATTTTTTAAAACACAAATAAAATCCCCAAGTTCCAATAACTACACAGTTTTGGGTCAATCTTTTATTTCAGAAGCCATCAGCTGTCTCAAAACAGCACTGATGTTCAGAAGTTATTTATCAGTTCTTCATATCTGGTTGCATTCCAATTTTCATTTCTCTGTTCTGTCCACTTTAACTCATGGATCTCAACATAAACAGACATCAAGGTTTGACTTCTTTTGGTCTTCAACTTGTCAGATCTTCTCATAAAAGGGACATTGGATCAAAGAACGAAGTCCAGGTAAAACACCTTCAAGACAGCCTTCCTCTGAATGGTGACAGACCTAGTTCCCAGGACTGCTCTTGTGTTTTCTTGCATGTCTGCGGTTTGCAGGGACACTCCAGCAAAAGTTGAGGACAGGTGCTGGATGTTTCCGAAACTCAGCTTTCTGACAGCACATTTAGCTTGAAGGTTTGGAAATGGCAGTAAAGCTGGGCCAGGTGTGAAAACCCCACCTTCGGTCCATAGCTTCACTACTTATAGATCAGGGCTTACACTTTGTCCCCGCAGTACTGGAAAGCTGTACAAGACCTTCAGCGTCTGCAACTGCTGGAAGCACAAAGCATTCAGTTATACTGCACTGATTAGAATGCACAGGCAACAAACGATTAATTAGTTTTCCTATTCTAGTAAGTTTTGGAGAGCTGGTACACCCTTTCTATGCGTAGCTTCCAGCTGCTCACAAGACAGATTTTCGCTAGAGGACACAGCAGAATCCTTCAGCCATATGTGTACCAGGATGCACATGAACAGCACCAGATGGCTTCTACTGTCTGAAAACGACATAGGGAAACTATCAGCCCTCAGGTTACACCTTCAGTGGCAAAATCTGGATTTCTTTGCTGGTGAGAAGCTGTGGTTTGGAAGAGTTTCAAGTGATTTCACTCTGTTTGGACATCTAGCCAAAACTACTCATTGCCTCCCCAGCTTGACAATAAGCAACTCGGAGCATTTGCTCCTCTTGGTTGTTGCTGTATGCTAGGAAAGCACTCACAGGCTCTCCAAGATAGGTGTCTTACTAGCTTGCTTGGATAAGAAAGACACAGTGGTAGAAACACAGGGAAGGGAGAAACAATTGTTGGCAAGAAATTCCTCTGAGTTATACGCTAGCAGTTGGCAAGTCTGAGGACAGATAAGTCAATTCCTTCACATTGCCATGCTTGTTAATATAGTTCATACCCACACTGAGGATGCCTGAGCATTGTGCAATCAAGGCCTAAAAATCAGAAGTGTGAGATACGTTTTAATGCACAAAGCAGCTGGATATTTAATCAGACACCAATAGCAACCTAAACTTCATCCATATGGTCTTTCTGTTCTGAGTACTGAAAAGCCTCAATGCTTACAGGAAAGGAGCCGAGTTCTCTCCTTTTGGAGATGAATGACACCAACACATTAAGTCATCTAGCAGGGTGACGCTAACAGCATTAGCGTTTACGGAAGCCTGATCCAAGAACTCCATGAAAAACCTGCTACTGCCTTCAACAGGTGCTACAAGAAAATGAGAAAAAATACTATGGCCCAAGCTTACCAGTCACCAGCATTTCATTAAACCACTGCACAAAAAGCAAGTAAGCAACGCTGGATCAAACTCCCCGACAAGATTTTTATACAGTAAGTAGGAAGCTTTAGCTGACTGCTGATCCCCCAGTCTCCACTGGCACATCCCTGAGATGTTTCTGCATACAGACATCCTGGCTGTATTTCTAGACTGTGATGAGCATCACGATTTC